ATCGACAGGTTCTTCCGTAGTTTATTTTCCGATCATGACTAGGAGCACACGGTGGATGTGACCGGTAGGCAGGGGATGATCACTTCTGCATGACACCTGGCCCCACCTCTGATGTTTTGGACGTCCGTTTTTGCTCTGCTCCAATTCTGTATTGTTTAATGGACTTTTGACCTTTGTTCTTCAGCAAAATCAAAAGACTGCAACAAAAGTATTGTTTCACCACCTACCTCAAAGAATATATCCAAAAATTTTTTCTTGACTTAGATATATATTCAAATGAATTTTCATATAATTTAATTTTTTTAAAAGAAAAAGGAATTTTTTCTTTGTTAAACCTTTTCTTTGTTAAAAGACTTTTTCCGTATAAATTGTTTGAAATAGAAAATAATTCTATGTTTATTTATAACCCACAACATCATTTAATAATTGTAAATATGTTTATATAATTACATATTTTTTCTTCACTAAAAGAAATGCTTTTTCACAGAGTACTATAACTATAGCAATATGTAGATTGTAATTTATATCAGGTATTTCAACACAAGCATCGCAATATCAAATTTTTCAAGTTTTGTCATAAAATATGTCGACTTCTTAGATATATATGATAATCATGATTCAATATATGTTTCATATATGTAACCTTATATCATGAAGATTGTAACAAGATATCATCTCCAAACAAATGAACCCATGTTTTTCTGCACATTATCAGAAAAGTAAATGGCCAAAAACTGATCCTTGTGGAATACGTTTGACTACTAAGATCAATTTAAGACAACATTGACTACATGTACATGTATATCAATGTCATATATTCCTCTGAAATGAGATACAAATGTAAAAAAAAAAATACAGTAGAACGTTCACAAATTGAACAACAATTTTTTTTGAGCAGGGGGGATCTTTTTAGTGCCAACATCTACTGCGACACGGGACCTCGGTTTATACGGTCTCATCCAAAGGACCGGTCTCCATATACCACAGTAGGATTCGAACCCACGACGTAAAGATGAACTCCTTACTTTGCAAATCTAAACCAGACGCTCTAACCACTCATTTGCAAAGAAAATAAATAACAAATTTGTTTGTTTTTTTCATTTTGTTCAAGAACACCTGTCTTATTTGAAAAATTAAAGTATTAAATAATAATTATTTTTCTTTTAATAAGAAAAAATATATACCTCCTACCTAATAATAAATTAAGAAAAGCTGTCTCACTCTCATGTCTATCTTCTCCCATACATGCTAGTTAGGGTTGAAATGTGGATGGCAAGGGGGCTTACCGAAATTGTCTGTGCCCTGCCGACAATAGTTACATAATGTCTCCTTACATGCATTCCCCACTCCCCCAGTTTGACATTGAGGAGTCACTTCCGGTTCCATTAAATGTTATTTCCGGATAAATTCTAGGATGGTTTTGTGATGTTTGTTAATAATATATCGATTTTTTAATTATTGAAAGGAATTTAGGTATGCTTTGTAAGTCTTCCGGGTGGTAATTATAAAGGTTTTAAGTAAAATGAAGACATACAGTAAAAGGAAAAACTCTCGTTAACTACGACCAGCGTGGGCCATTTCAACTTCACTTGCACATTGTTTTGTGGACATACACCGCATTTTAATCAAGCCTTTTTCTGTTTTTCGTTAACAATTAAAGATGGAGAACAGATGGAAATAAAAAAAATGAAAAATAAACCCGAAAAACGTATGGAACTCTAATTTCATGCTTTTTAACGGAAACGGTCACGGTAGAGTAATTAAACATTCGATTACAATTTGTTTGGCCTTGACAGGTAAGCATTGCAAATATCTAAGTAACATCCAAACTGTTTAATTTCCGTGGTCCGTGTTTTATGTCATGTTAACATTTTTGTATAGTACATGTATATATTCTATATACAGGTAGATCGATCATATTTGCTAGATTACTATTAAGGTCAGACGACACGTTCCTCAAATTTATATAATTTATATATAATTTTTTCTAAGAATTTGTCATTGAAGTATAAGTACTTAAACAAGTTTCCTCACAAAAAATTAGGGTACCTTACCAGGCATTTGAATAAGATACCAGAAGGTCATATTTCTTATCTAACCCTTATGGATAATATTCTGCATGGCATTTTTCATAATTTTTGGTGTACTTATATTTAAAAACATTCTGAAAACAATGTAGAAATAAGAAGAAAATGACAAATACAAATAATTTTGATATAATACCAAGAATTACAAAAGATATATTTGAGGAACGTGTCGTCTGACCTTAATTATGGCAAGCCCTTTTGCTATTTATTCGTAAAATAAAATCTATCTTTAAATTACAGAGATATCTCTCATTTTAGAGAGATATCTCTTTAAAAAATGGAGATATCTCCCAACTTAAAGAGATATCTCTTTGAAAAAGAGATATCTCTTGAACTTACAGATATCTCTTATATTTAGAGAGATATCTCTTTTAATTAGACATATCTCTTCCACTTGAAAAGATATCTCTTTCTCCTTGAGAGATATCTCTTTCGTGAAAAGAGATATCTCTAAAGGTTAAAGAGATATCTCTTTCACCTAGAGAGATATCTCTTTTACTTTTGGAGATATCTTTTCAAGTTAAAGAGATATCTCTTAAAGTAAAAGAGATATCTCTCTTAGTTTATCCTAAGAGATATCTCTCAGAGTGAAAGAGATATCTTTCAAAAGTGTCTAAAAGAGATATCTCTCAAGTAACAAGAAGCCCATAGGCCTTATAGGTCACCTGAGCATCATGCAATAACTTTCAAGTGATTGAATTTGCTTCATGTTTTAAGCTAGATGCTATGGCATTCACAATTTTGAAAGAGGCAAAATTGCTCATCATAAGTACAGGTGTAAACACTTTTTTCAACATTTATTTCCCAGACTTATATACTTAGCAATTGCTTAGTTTGGTTACTTAATACCCATAGGCAGGGTAGGGGAACAAAAATGCATTTCAACTAATCAGTAATATTCAGCAATAATCAGTAGTGCCGGCGCCCCTAACACTGTGACATAAACACCTGACCCTAGGTCCACACATTGCACAATCTTTAAAAAGGCACCCTTGCTTATCAAAAAATAATATTTGATTAATACAAAGGAGCAGAATTCAAACAATTAATTCATTTTTAGTATATAAGTAGAGCGCCCCCCCCGTACCCCTGACCCTGGGGCCTTGAAATTCACAATTCTGGAGAAAGGGTCCTTGTTATCATAACTATATAGGTATGGTAGTTCATCTGCTTAATACCCAGGGGAGCAGAGAAGAAAATTTTCAAAAATTTAATGTATTTTCACTATATAATCATTTAGAGCCCCATCCTACCACCAGAACCCCTGACCCTGGAGCCATGAAATTCACAATTTTGGTAGAAGGTAGAAGCATTCTTGCCCATCATAACTATGTACTTAATTAGTTTATTTATACCCAGGAGCAGAGAAGAAGATTTTCAAAGAATTAATTCATTTTCACTATATAATCAAGAGAGCCCCCCCACTAGAACCCCAGACCCTGGGGCCATGAAATTCACAATTTTGGAAGAGGCACTCTTCCCCATCATAACTTTGCACTTAGTTAGTTTATTAAATATATAGGGGCAGAGAAGATTTTCAAAGAATTAATACATTTTCACTATATAACCAACAGAGCCCCCCCCCCCCCCCCAACACAAGAATCCCTGACCCTGGGGCCATAAAATTCACAATTTTGGAATAGGCCCTCTTGTCCATCATAACTTTGTACTTACATAGTTTATCTAATACCTAGGAGCGGTGAAGAAGACTTTCAAAGAATTGATTCATTTTCACTATATAATCAATAGAGCCCCACCCTAACACCAGAAGCCCTACCTTGGGGCCATCAAATTCACAATTTTGTAAGAGGCACTCTTGCCCATCATAACTATGTACTTACTTAGTTTATTTAATGCCCAGGAGCAGAGAAGAAGACTTTCAAAGAATTAATGTATTTTCACTATATAATCAATAGAGCCCCACCCTAACACAAGAACCCCTGACCCTGGGGCCATGAAATTCACAATATTGGTTGAGGCACTCTTGATCATCATAACTATATACTTATAAGTTAGTTTATTTAATGACTTTCAAAGATTTAATGTATTTTCACTATATAATCAATACAGCCCCACCCTAACACAAGAACCCCTGACCCTGGGGCCATAAAATTCACAATTTTGTAAGAGGCAGCCTTATTCAACATAATTATGTACTTGGTTTGTTTATTTAATACCCAGGAGCAGAGAGGCAGATTTTCAAAGAAATAATGCATTTTCACTATATGATCTATATAGGCCCGACGTAGCTCTAGAACCCCCGACCCCGGCGCCATGAATTTCACAATTTTGGTAGAGGACTCAATGCTGATTACAATCATGCAAACAGTTTGACTGCTTGATGTCCAGGAGTAAAGAAGAAGATTTTTAAAGATTGCATCAATTTCAGTGGTTTTGGCCCCACCCCTCAGGCCCCAGGGGGGCAGGGACCATGAAATTCAAAATTTTTGTTCCCCTTCACCCATAGATGCTTTATGCTAAAACTGGTTGAAATTGGTTGGGTGGTTTCAGAGAAGAAGCTGTATATGTTCAAATGTTAACGCACGACGACGGACGAAAGCGGACAGCATTAGGTCACCTGAGTTTACTCAGGTGACCTAAAAAGAGATATCTCTTTATTGCTAAGAGAGATACCTCTCTTCATTATTTTCATTTAATTTCCATTAAAATGACTTCTCCCTTTACCGGAAGTAAGCTTTTTATTGACGGAAGTACATTAAAGTAATTTTAAATTCGACATATTCATGATATTCTACATTATATCTTTACTAAACATCACAAGTAATTCAGTTTTGTCTAGATTTCAAATTAGAAATCGTGGATTATTTCACAAGCTGAGAAAATTCGGTCCATTGCATTTGAGATTACAAATACGCTTGATGATTACTTCATAAGAAAGAAATATTTTATGGATGATGTTCCATGATTTTATTTTAAAAAATGTTCAGACATACATTCAATCTCCTGAAACACAGAACACGTACATTGTCTGTATGATATCTTTATATCTGTTTCACATGCTACAAATATGTACAAGGTACCAAATACAGATATAGGAGTTGATAATATAAATGACAGAGCATGCAGTTTTTATTTTCCTTATATCGATCTCTAAAGAGACATGTACAAACTTGATAAATACATTTGGTGAAACAAACACTCAATTCCCGACATAAAATGGCCTCATATTCTGATTACTTATGAATGAGATCGCATTGTTTACTTTTACAATCCATCGGTGTTCTGTGTATAAGCTCTATAGGACAAACAGAAAATGTTGTGATAAAAATGTATACATTCAATCATTAAACAATTAAAACTCAAAAATTTTATAATTCATCTAATTATTAAGAACATTCGACCTTGCATATGATTGTCTAACAAGCCCCTTGGAACTGATCTACGGCCATGCTACATTCACATTCAATGATATCTATAATTCTGTTTAATCCTATTTCATGAAAATTAATTTGAGTACATGTTGAGGAAATACTTTTTAATGTTTGGTAATTATGCAAATTGAGGAGACAATTATTTTATTTCTATACATGCACTTAGGAAAACAGACTATGTTTCATATTATTAAATGAATTACAAGCCAAATATCAATGAAAGAACAAGTTTAATTGAAAATGAATCTATTTTATACTCATTTAAAAAAAATCATACGTATATTCAGAAAAAAAAATTGAAAATTTATGTATTCTTATGAAAAAAATATAATATTGCCATACTCTGATGTTAGGCAGTCTCTGCAAGAAAGCTGACAACATTAGTTTGTGTAAAAAACAATATAATTCCCCATGCACATATCAACTTCTATATTCATTGCAGTAAATTTACCATCTGTACATGTAGGTAATTTATAAATATGACATCCGTAACTTATTAACACCTGAAATATTAATTTATGTTTTCAAAGTTCCTAAATGTGTCCAAATAGGATTTGTACCAACCACAGGAAACACTGTAAATGGTATAATTGAACATTAATTGGAACGTAGGAAACTGGGAAGGATCAGGAAATTAATTCCATTACCATTGATATTTATCAACTGTATTTATTGTTCATTAAGTGTAGGAATAAGTTAATATTCAATTTATATATAAGTTATGATCAAAATCAATCTTGCAGTTATTTTTCTGCAATCTCTGATTATCCCATTCAGTGACTAAAGCAAAATTATTCCTTTCCAAGTTCTGGAACCTTTACAAATTGTCTTTTCTCAAGGTTATTACATAAGTAGTAATCTTCATAAAGTATGAAATATGAATTATATTATTCTTTGATAAAATCATGACCTTGATCTTCTCAAACTGACCTGACCTTTTTCAAGGTCAAGTTTAATCCTTTAGTCATGGCATTATCTGTCTAAATTACCAGTGTCTCTTTTTACTTTATATTACAATTTTCACAGACCAAACAAAACATTGTGTATCAAAACCCTTCAATCTTAATTTTGTTCATGACACACCCTGTGGTTGAAAAAATAAGAGATGTATGAACTTCTGCTTTCTTTGTAGAACAAAACTATAGCACAGACAAGAATTTAACATTTAGATTCTTTATTCAGAAGCCAACTTAACTGTAAATTTTAATGTCTCTAATTTAAAAGTTGACTCAAGAAACAAGCAAAAGACAGACAACTGGACATGGTGATTCCTTTACAATTTTCACCCCCTCCCCCATCCCCCATTTTTTTTTCAGAAATGGGTTTGGAGGAGGTTTAACATATACTCTAATATACAGTGGTGTGACCGGTCGGCAGGATATGCTCACTTCTCCATGGCACCTGATCCCACCTCTGATGTTTTAGAGGTCCATGTTTATCCTTCTCCTGCTTTGTTTTGTTTTATGGACTTTGGATCTTGATTATTGTTCGTTATCTCCATAAGTTTCATTGGAAAGTATGTAAGTTGTTAAATATCTGGTATGATAATTTTGACTGCAAAATTTCTTAAACAAATGTTATTTTGCCATCTACATATCCTATAATTTGAGAATTATTCAAAAGTTCAATTAAAGGTTATTAAATTCTGATCTCATTTTCATAAGTGACTTGTTTATTTAATAATATCAATAAGCTCTAGACACCTCACGAAGTTGACGTCTTATTTGTAGCATGTGTTCCTTAAAATGAGGTGTTAATTTCTCCTTAATCACATAATCATTATTATTGTTATCATGCTGTTTCATTGAGGACAGATTTTTTTTGTTTTGCTCATACAATAATATTTTGAATGAATACCAACATGATGAAGTAAATAATGTTTTGCATGACTATGAAGTAAACATGTTTGTGATCCTCACATTGCATTTTCCATTTAATTTTTCTTATCTCTAAATTAAAGATATGTTCAGGTAAAATCTGTCTTAGATTTAGGTGAATAAGATGTTTCACATCAAATTCAAAATACATCTATGATAACTGCTATGTAACAATATCAAAAAATTTCAAGTTGTCTTTTGAACTGAAGAATACAATTAATATCTTTTTTGTGATTTATAAAAGCAATTGTACATGTACTATACACCAAAAAAAAAAAACATGCATATGAAATGATACATTCACATAGAACACAAGATATATGGCAGAAATACATGTACTACTCTAAATCAGAGATCTATTTGTGTTGGACAGAAACAACGTCATATTTTATATGATAAATACATGCATACACAATGTCACTACTACAGTGCTAAAGCATTGAATGATGTCAGTGATGGGGAACATGCCTTTTTCATGCTTTAACAAAACAAAATATACAGTCATGTAAATAATAGAGTACCTACAAATAACACTTTGTACTCTAAAATGTGCCAAATAATTTTACCAAAGGATGCAATGTCACAAAACATTTAGTTTTAAGGAAACATTAAATGATATTTTCATTTTTATCAATATCAGTGCATCTCCTCTGAAATCTTTAAAAGCCCCTTACAAAGAATTTTGCACACAAACACATAACGACTAACATGCACGAACAAGCAGAGATGTTACAGTATTATTTAGTGTAATATTACATTTTTACAAAAATCATATGACTAATACACCTAATTAATGTACATAAAGCAATTTAAGAGATATAATTTATACATACTTGAACTCACTGACTCCATTTGTTTCTTGTGCATGTATCATCATATTTTGTAACATGCAGGTTTATACATATTATTAAATATAAGTATAATAACAAGATCTACAACATATCATAAATTCATATGACAAAACCTTTTGCTTTTCAAACCATATCAAGCAAAAATGTACATCTCCTTTGAGATGTTTTGTTCTTGAATATGTATTTATTTTTGAAGAACTTATCATTGATACCATATGCAAAATGTAGTCATAAAAAGTTGAGAAACACAGCTGAAACACATTTGAGCTACAGAAATCACTGTATATAAAGCTGGTCTACAAAAGCAGACTGTTTACAATTATCCATTTTGGCAAAAGAAAGACAACTCTTCACATAGTTACTGAGAAAAAATTCACATTTTTCATATTCTGGAGAGAAAAAAATCTATCCTTTATGTTCAGTACCAAGGTAATTATTCTGGTTTTTTTTATAAAATATACCATTTTCAAATGAGGATTTAAAAAAAAAAAAACTGTTTTACTTATAAAAGCAAAATTCCAATTTCCCCAGTCACTTAATAGGGGGAAAAAATCATACTTTGGACAGGAAGAAAAAACAGACTCTGTAGTTGTTCTAACATATCTGATAATAAATAAATTTATTGCTAGAGTAGAAGCTACATGCAGCTGCTGCCGAATTTAATTTTACAGATCCGTAGATTCAACAAGATCGTTCTCATCGTCATCACAATTCCTGATGGGAATACTGTTGTTGACTTCTACAATGATATCTTGTATATGAACATCACAAGAAACACGGCTTTCAGCTGGAGAGGAGTTTTCAGACTCTCTCATATCATGACACCCCCCTTCTTCTGACGGGCATTCCAGATCACTTTTTACTTGTCCATTGTTTTTATGACTCTCCGTGAGCTCAGAATGAGACTCTTCTTCCACTTCCTTTTTTTCTTGGACTTGAGATGATGAGTCTGTAATTGGGGCAGATGAGTCCACTGCATCTTGTTCCACTGAAGGTTCATCAATAGCAGTTTCTCTCACAGGATGAACTACGACCTCTGTTTCTCCTTCCTGAGCTTTTTCTTTGATATGCTCACCGTCAGACTTCACTGGTCCACTAGGAACACTAGATACATCACCCTTTGTTTTCTTGTCAGCATCAGACTTTAACTTGACTCGGTGTTTCTTCATCCGCCTTCCCGTGCCTTTCCTAACTTTAAATGCATTGCCATCGTCTGAAGTATAAGTGTCCGCCACAATTGCTGACAGAGAGTTACCGAAGTCCTGAACACAGAAGTCTGCACTTGTGGCATTACATGTAACATCCTCCCCCCTAAGTTGCAGTAGTTGTCAATTGACCGAGAGTTCAATGTTTATAAACTGTTTCAGACGCTCTAAGTACTGTCCATATAGCTCCACATCATTATGTCCTGCCCCTTCCACCCACAGAGGTTCTACGGCCCGGGGACATTTCTCGTAAATGGCGAGTCCGTGAGAAAAGTCTATCACCTCATCCTCTGTCCCATGAATTACCAACACGGGGCAGGTAATTTTGGGTACTTTATCTATGCTGAAATGAAAGAACAAGGATTACTAGTAATCTCAAGAATAAGAAATGTGAACTACTTTCATAATGACAAAGGCTTAAGTCTGCTACATGTAATAGGGTCAAGGGCTATGCCTTCCATTCCTGGGAAATTTTTGATAATTTGAAACCAGATTTTGGAGACACAATTTCAGTCTCAAACTACATGTATGTCCTTACAAAATCCCTCTGAAAAGAATTGATTAAACAATTGAAATTTTGAAGAAATATTTTTAAATTTGAAAATTTGTTCATTAAATTCACTTGGAAGGTGGAATACATGTGTTTGCATAATATGGTTTTGACAAAACAAATTCATTCATCTGCTTAGCCTGTGAAAACTTCATTAGCAAAGAGTTGACTATAGAGATACAGAATTATTATTGTTTTGAAAATAATATCTTAACACTGAAATGCACCAACTTACCTCTGACCATTTTGTACTAAATAAAAATATTACTACAACTGCAACAATTCATAAGAATTCTTGCATACAAGAAAAAAGGTAAAGATTGTTAACACTTTTTTTCTACTTTGCTATAATAAACATGATAAAAGAGTAAACTTGGTAAACACCATCCTTTATAAAATGGCAAGGGTCCTAAACCAACATATTGCTGTTGGACCCCTGACCAATTTCATTTGATATTCTACAGACTTTCTTCTCTTCTCTTATTGAGACGCATCTGTCAGAGAGATCAGGGCTTTCATTGGTTGATATAAAACGTACACGTAAAGTAACTGTAGGAAGCAGTGCTCAGGTTTGTCACTGACAGGGTTCATGTGACTATAAATGGAGATGTAAGAAAAACAATTCTGATGTGTACTTTCCACAAAAGATTTCAGAGCCCATCAGCCAATAGAATATTGAATGATATTAGTCAGGAGTTCAACAGCAATATGTTAATTAAACTGACCCTTGATGTTGATGCGGCTCAATATTTTTGGATCAAAATTATACCCGGTATTATGAAAATGCTATTGCTATGATACCATGCGTTATCTAGTCAGCTTCATCAAAGATTTATATTCAGATCTTAGATTCAATTTCAATAAGCATTTTAAAAAAAATATCATTGATCAAACAATTGTTTACAACAGGAAGTCCGCGGTGAATCTGCCGCAAGCAAAAATCAATGACTTGTAGAGAACCATGTGACCAACCTTTGGCTGACAAATCCTTATCATTGTATAAAGTTAAGGCCATAAAAAATTAATTTCTTGGTTCTCAGGCCCTCTCTCATCACGTAAAATCCACCTGTGACGTCATTCTTTTGTTTGAGCGCTCCATTACTTTTCAAGAATGGAGAGTTGCAAATTACATTGAAAACGGAATTTGTTATTGTCTTATTCTCCTTTCCATACCTCTACCGAGGAAAGAACTTAGAAAATTTTAGAGAAGAGGTTTAGAAAATTGTAAAGTTTAGTTTCACATTAAGAAAATTAAAGTACCCGTAAAGTGAGTATCGAACCCGGTACCCTCACCTTAGGAGTCCAGTACTCATTTCACTGAGCTAACGAAGCTGTTGGAACACATTGAGTTAGACGAACTTCAGTACAGTTGTTTCGCCTTTCTTTCTATATTATATATGAATTTAACACTACTAATATATAATAAGTATTTACAGTGTATCATATAAATATTCTTTATTATGTATTGACAAATTAAAAAAAAAAACATTCAGAAAGGTGGATTTTACGTGGGTTGATATACTCGTAGCGCTCCATTTCCTCTTCTTCATTTTTTGAGGTTTTGTACAATGTAAAAAGCTGCCTCATCATGTTTTGGGGGCAATAAAAAAAGTATTAAAAAAAATGACTAAATCCTACATCATATTTCTTTAAAAAAAAGCCCGAGAACCAAGGAATTAACTCATACATGCCAACTTTTGGAAATTTTCATGGGGGAGATTGCGTGTAACGACATTTTTCAAAGTTCCTAATTCGCTGTGTTTTGTCTTGAAAAAAAAAACTACTTGTAGGTTTTTTTTAAAAATATCAATCTACTACCTTGTACATGTATCATATATTATCACTACTTTGAAAAGTGTTTTCATCTCTATCAACTTCAACAAAAGCACAAATACAATATTATTTGAAATTTTAAAAAGACTTTTTTATTCAAAATTATTTAATAGGTTAATATTAAGATAAACATACCCACTGCCTTAAAGAGTGTGATACAAACAGATTATTACTTGAATAAGGATGTTAAACTTTACAAATAAGCTGAAGCAAGTTTAGTTTATGCATTTACCATGTGGTTACTGTTCATTGTCTGTTGGTAAATAACAAAGTTTATAAGGCTACTGTCACAGACACATAATTATTTTTTTTTTAATCAGAGGAAATATATTAAGAAGTCATTTTTTTTTCATTCAAAGTCTGCAAAATTAAAGCATGGTCTTTTTCCTTTCTTTTTCTGCATCACTTCTAATGGTTTGTACTTGCAGGCACATCTTTTCATGTTGGATTTTGGCAGTGTCCATGAAGTAGATCATAATTTAATGAGGAATGCCATATTTCAAAACTAGAAAACCTTGTATAAACGGTTTATTGTCAAAGTTTGCTGTAAAGTGTGAACTCTCACACGTTTGTCAGTTTGTATCCTGTCGTGTGTATTTCTAAAATTTCCACATCTGGCATAATTGTCTAGGTTAATATACACTGTTAATGAGAATCGGGAGCAATTAAAACCACTGTAATGACTGATAGCACAGTTGACACCTTGTTGATTACCTGTTATCAGCGGCAATAAACAGATATCCGACTGATAAACATTGAGACAGCCATGTTTTCTGCACATGGAAATACTGTATTATTCAAACTCAAAGCGAATCGGTAAAAAATCCGGATTTTCGAAAAATCTGTGGAAACGGGGGAAAAAATAAATCGGTAGACTAGCAGTAGACAGGGTTCAAAATCGGTAGACTCCCGCAAAAATCGGGAAAGTTGGCATGTATGTTAACTTTGCATGGCCTATCTCTTCTAGTCATTGACTAATAGAACTAATTTGTTCCTAACCAGTAAAGAATGTGTATGGTTATCAACTTATATTGTATCAGACATAAATTACTACGATTACTACATTGGCAAAATTGAGATTTGTTCTTTCAAAACTAACCTTGGAAAGGCATCAAAAAACCATGTTCTCTTGGTCTCTGGAAATGCCACTCTCATCCCAGACATAAGCGGAGAATGAAGAATAGCTGCTCCAACCTCATATCTAGACGCCAGGTCAATGGTGGGTACCGTGCCAATACTCTGTCCATACAACACTACATTTTGAGGACTGATACCATATCTACTACGCAGAGCTTGCCACGCGGCATCGATATCTGCATACAGATTCTTTTCTGATGGTTTTCCTGAGCTGCTTCCATATCCTGAATAGTCAAAACTAAAAATGTTACAGTTAATGCGAGAACCTAGCCCTATGTAAAAACTGCTCATTTGCCCCAGGTCAACAGCATTTCCGTGACTAAATAACATAGTATATTTAGCATTGGGTGAACATCTGACAAACATGCATGCTATTCTGTTCCCTTTGGAAGTCCTGGTCATGAAAACTTCAATACAGTCTAGTTCTCTTTGTGTGTATTGCCATTCTGCTCTCTCAGTCAGATGTAGGCTGTACTTGGAACCCGTATCGTCGGATATAAGGGAATATGTTGGTTCGGGTGGGAGAAAGGCTAATTTAGCTGCTATTCTTGATGGACATGGTGGGCAACAGAACAAACCACAAAGCTCACTGAACGATAAGCTATTCATGGTGTCAGATGATTGTGATGCTGACGGGAGTGGTCTTTCACAAATTCTACAAATATTTACCGTCTTGTTATCACTGTCGCATAGTGAAATGGCAACTGAATGGCTTTCTTCTCATAAACTTAGTGTAAAGTAAGATTTCATTCAAGATTTCCTTTCCTCTAAAAAAAAAAATATACGGTGACGTCACTTTGCTAGTCACCGGAAGAAAATTTCATTAAAGGTTTCGAATATAATTATTTTAGTCACAGGTGGTGAATGGGTCTATGGGTTTTCCTCGAATTAACAATTTTTTTTACAATCAGAATTAAGACAGTATAATGCCATATTTTTTCATGGCTGTTTGAAGAAAAATTACAAACAGTCTCTTTTTAGTTTCGTACTTTTGAAATAAGTGTTAGAACCAAACTTAAGTTTTTCGAAGAATCCGAAGAAATATATGGAAAAAGACTGAACAAAAATCAAAAGACCATGACTGTTCATTATAGAATTAATATCTTTTCATTAAGTTCAAATATAAAATGCAAGAAAGGCATACTAGATAATATTACATGCTTTTGTTGCATTATTCCGGAATATAATATTTTGTGCATTTTTATTTTGAGTTTATGGAGTCCTTCCAAGTTCCTACATGAATTCTTGATGACAGCGTGTTTCACTGTTTGTTTTTTGCTAAAATATTTAGTCAATTTTAGACAAAACTAGTTTCGTTTTGTAATAATGAGTAGTCAGAAGGGAAATGTTCGAAAATCTGGTCCCCAAAAATACCAGAATAAATCAGCTTTTAAAAACAATCTTCATGACACAACCCCAAGAGTGAAGCTGATGAACAGTGTCGTGCTGGGAGGTGTCTGTAAAAGATGTAAAGATGTCATTGACTGGAAAATTAAATACAAGAAGTACAAACCACTCACAGTTCCTAAAAAGTGGTAGGTAAATTAAATCCGTTTAGAACTTTTAAAAGATTGTTTTGTTATATGTTAGTCAGGTTGGGCACACACCGCCTAATGGTCATTTAACCCCCGTTTGTTGGTCATTCTCCCATATCGGCGTCTTTATTAACCACCAAATGGGAGAGAAAAATCGTTCTGTTCACTTCTCTGGAATGACATTAAATGGCGCATAATTTCAACTCACGGGGAATAAAATATAGATATTTATCTGTACTCTGAACAAAAAAAATTAAAATTTCAACGCGGACTTTTTTGCGCAGTGTCGTTCAAATAATTGACAAAATCGTCACCTATGTAAACAAGTGTAACGTTTTCTGTTTTAACTTAAAAAGAAAAATTCCCTCCGTCTCGCGCGTAGTTGAGCCTAATATGTTGACGGTGCGACCGTTAGAGCGAGCGCAAACTCTTCTATTGTTTTGATTTAGATCGGGCTCGTCAAACCGCACATGACATTTGGTGCGTCTAGATTCTGACGTCACATGACGTATATAAGTCGCAATATACCGAGAAAAAGCCTGAACAGTGCTGAAAGTTAATGAAGAACGTTTTGTTTTCTATTTATCTTCAATATATGTCCATTAAATCAAGGCGAGTAAACTTTTTGTTGAACATTTGCCGTGATTCTCGCAGGAACGTAGCTAAAACAAGTGATGCATTGTGGGTCCAAATTACTGCATCAAAAAATTCTATCGAATGAATGTGCAGAAGTCCGAATTTTATCTTCGCACAGGCGTTGCTTTAAGAGCTCGCTATGCGAGCGGCGCTTCGCGCCGCCTCGCTGCGCTCGCTATCAATCGTGTTGATCACTTCATATTTCAGTGATCAAAAATGACGATCTTTTCCAAACTTGGGTCAAAAGACTGAATTAACTACGGAGGCCCATAAGTGTTAATTTTCAAAAAGTAAAATAAGAGGAAGGGTAAGAATTCGCCTTTATTTAGTTTATTTCGTAAGCAATGGCTTTATTCTTTGTACAAAAGCGATATGCAGTGAATTCATGTTAAAATAATCACTCGAAAACCATAATCTTGGAATAAAAACAGGAATAATTGCAAATATCACTTTGTAAATCTTTTATTCAAAAATATTTAATAAATATGGTAGATACAACATTAGATATGCATACTAAACCACAAAGGGTCGCACAGAAATCGTAACTTCATCCTAAAAGAAAATAAAGAATAAATAGTACATTCAAATGTAGGAAAAATGAATATTATAGCAATAACTGCCCACCATACGAATAAGATTCGAGGAGCTCGTGTTTAACAGGATTTTATAAAAATTAATGTAGACGCAGATCGAAAGATCGTTTGAAAAGTTACTTCTCTAGACTAACACCTCTTGTTTATATGTATTTTTTACCGAACTATACACAACAAAATAATTTTTCGTATTGTTTGAGCTAATAGTTCTGCCGTCACGAACAGCTGTGGGTTTCGTTTTTACGAAGTTCCACAGAAATTCCACATGGAAAATTGACTAAATTGTATTAAATGTGCGATGAATATGTTAATTAAAATTCTTCAATGCCTAAGTAAATGCGCTTTTGCTTTATTTCAATGAAAATTGGATTTGAATAAAAAAGACCACCATTTGGTAGGTAAAAAAGACGCCGATATGGGCGATTGACCACCAAACGGGGGTTAAATGACCATTTGGCGGTGTGTGCCCAACCTGTTAGTGTGTGGATAAACCAGTACATTGAACACACATTGAACTGAGACTTTATAGTAAACTAATATATCAGGAATTTAGCCCTAATAAACACATTTTTTAATTGCTCTTTAAGACTTTATTAGCTCAACTCAACTGAGCTGAAAGCTCAAGTGAGTTTTTCTGATCAAAATTTGTCTATTGTCTGTCGTTGTTGTTGTCGTAAACTTTTCACATTTTCATCTTCTTCTCAAGAACCACTGGGCCAATTTTAACCACAAAGTATCCTTAGGTGAAGGGGATTCAAGTTTTTTCAAATGAAGGGCCACATCCTCTTCCAAGGGGAGATAAATATGAATTAGTGAAAAATTAATGGCATATTTTAAAAACCTTTTTCTCAAGAACCACTGGGCCAGGAAAGATGAAACTCATGTATTGTAGATTCAAATATGTTGAAATCATGACCCCTGGGGCAAGGGTGGGGCCATAATGGGTGATCTACTGGATGATTAGTTGGATTACTTATGCAAGTGAGTTAAGGTAGTCCGATCCTTAGGTTTATGAAATTAGCAGCTAAGTAATCAAAAATACTCATAAAAGTATCTCTGAATCCACAAAGTTATGTAAATTTATCCACAGTATTTCTTTAAAGTTAAAGATTAAAGTTTATCATGTTATATAGGGAAAATTGTCAAATCTTCAATATTTTTGCAGAAAAAGCGAATTGGAATATCAGCAATGCATTTTCTAATTGCAAATTGATCAACAAATATATTTTAGGTTAAAAAAAACAATATGTATCCAGGCATTCAGAGAAATTGTCATGATTTTTATACTTATTTGGTATTTCTTGTCTTCTATTTTCGTCATGTATTCTATAATACATAGCGTAAAAGGCTTTTTCTATCATTGCAAGACACCACAAATCACTTCTTATTTTATATCATGCTAATAAGCATGGGTATCTAAGGCTGAATTCAATAAAATCTTACTTCTCTAAAACCGTATGAATTTTTTTCCTTTTATATGGTACAAATGTCAACTTTTATAGGACCTTTTCTAGGACTTCCAAAAACCTTGAATCTTATAAAGTTGAATAAAATGAAAATTGTTGCATGAAAAAATTTCATTTTCAAACTTCATTTTGATGCGTTTCAAATTAAATATTAATTTTTGGAGTTATCCTTCCTGGCTAAGGATCGCATATCCTTAAGGCCAAACATGGGCGTTTCTATGCACATTAGTTAATAAAAATGCATAAGCTGTATATTTTATACACAAAGAAAGTTAAAATAGATTTTCTTATTCATACTTAGTACCCACAGCATGTTAAAGCTTGTACATATTACATATTATGACGTCATTATTCTTTCCCATTCAAGGTAATAAAACACATCAACAAAACAATATCAGTGCAAGGGCATATCCTATTTAATTTAAAATTAATGATGTATCATATTAAAGAGAATATTCTAAAAATTATTAAAATTGCTGCACAAATCTTATGCACTTTCTCAATCTATAAAAATTTTAGGAAACTTACACTGGACTGTCAATTTTTACCCTGTTTCAATTTAAAACTGTTCATATATTAACTAAACATTTGCAGTGTCGACATTTCATTTGTGCAGCAATATCTTAAATCTTTGGAATATCCTATGTCTCTTTATACCTTGTTTCTGTAAAACAAAGTAGGGTACGCCCTTGTGCCGAAGCGATTTTGTTGATGTTCCTTATAAACTTGTGTTTCAGTAGCAGAGCTCAATGACATCATAATATGACATCATAATGAGTACTGGCTATCACATATTGTGAATACCAAGAATGTATTAGAAAACAAGTCTTAACTTTATCTGTGAGGTAGGGTTAGCGATTTTGGGTTTTAATTAGATTTTTTTGCATAGAAACCTCCATACACAGCCGTAACTCACTTGCATAGAAAAGTTCTTTAAAATTCTTCTTCTGGAGAACAACGAAGCTCTGATTGTTTGTATATTTTTTATATGGAAGCATCCTCGGGTAGTGTAGATTCAAATTTGTTCAAATCATGACCCACGGGGGTTGAATGGGGCCACAATGGGTGATCAAGGTTTTACGAAGGAAAACATAGGAAAAATCGTGAAAATTCTTCACAAGAACAATAAAGTCATTATATGCAGTCTGAATGCTGGCACACATTCTGAAGTGGGTATCATTAAACAAGAATATAAGTACTTTCGACTTCAATCAATCTCTTCATAACATGTTACTTTAAAAGGCAGACTTGCCACACTATAGAATATGACTTCACATGACAAGTGCATGGGGCCAAGAAGAGGGATAACAAAATAAATCAACACCAAAGGGTTGGGCCTAGAGTATTATGTGACATCAACAATATTTTAAAACTAAAAAGGCTTATTTCATATATCAAGTAAAAATCTTTCATATTTCCCTTCTAAACAATAGCAGGTCTTCTTTTAGTGATGTTGATAACTTGATACATGCACGTGAGCATCTTTACTGAAGTATAGATTAATATTTGTTAATAATAAATTGTAACCTCTGATTAGGATGGTGGCTGCCATAGGAAGTCAAATCTTTATTATCTATAAATATTTGAAAATAAATTTTAAAACTTGCCACTTATTTTCCAGCACAAAGTGTCTCCAAAAAAGGATAAAGCAAGCATACTATACAATCTGTATTCAGTGTGCAAAAGAAAGAGATATCTGTGCCAAATGTGGAGAAAAATCAGAAATCGTGGAAGAGTAAGTTTTTCTTATTAGACTGCATTATACATTTATTGACTGAGTTCTCGGGCAACATGCGTTTTGTCGGACCCAAGAACCAAACTATCTGCCTGAGGCCGTTAGGCCGAAGGCAGACAGTTTGGTTCGAGGGTCCGACAACACACATTTTGCCCAAGAACTCTGTCAATAAATGTTTTGTTATACCTTTCATTTTTCTTTGTACTGTATTCCATGATGTAACATCAGGTCTGTCACTGCTTAACACCAACGAATGAAAATGAGATTAAGCTCCGCCCATTCTGTGATGTAAGCGGTCCAACATCTCACCAGTGGTCCAACATCGATTTTTTTATGCCCGCTCAGCAAAACATTAAAATGTTAGACTTTTTTTGTATAGATTTGTATAGGAACAAATTTTTAAAGGTATAACAATATCATTTATCAATAATTTTCACATTTATAATCATGTTTCTGACAGACATACCTGGTATTCATGTACCTATTCATAATTTTAGTAAATATAATGTTAGCTGCAGTCCTCATATATTTGAAGGGGAAAAAAATGCTGGAAAAATTTACTACATGAAGAATGCATACTTTACAAATAGAAATCTTCAGGCAATATTGTAAGATTTTAAGCAATGTAATGTTTATATATTAGGGCAGAAACACGCACCCCTGCAGAACAAATGTCAAATGAAGCACAGGTAGAAGCAGAACTGAAAATGTTACCAGAGAGAAAAAGAAGTAAGTTGTGTAATTCTGTTGATTGATTGATTTCCATGTCTTATTTGTATTACATGTAACATCATGTAAATTTTTTATTTATCATTGAATACTACATTTACAGTATAATTTACAATGACTAATCTTTGTTTAATTAAGATAACAAATGCCATAACACAATTAGGGCTGTATCAATATATCGATATATCGATACTTATCGATATTCAAGAAAAATATCGTATCGAAAAGTAACTTCCAATACGCATCAGACAGACATTTTTTCTTCAAATTCTGTTTAAAAGATGGGAATTTCAATCACCAAAGATTATATTTTACTTTTTTGAATTAAAACCTTCAATAATTACATAATTTCTAAGGAAATAAGTCAAATAACACAGTTTTTATAATTATTAAAAATACAAAGAGAAATTTGTTTTGAACATGTTGATTTTACTGTCATCTAAAGTTTTAATTGAAGTGTTATTTTTAAAGACAATGAGACAAGAACTTTAAAAAGGGTAATAAAACACTTAATTGTTATGAAATGTATGCATTAAAATGATTTAGAAGCCTTTTCTGATGGACTTGTTTCAGAATCCAATATATTGCATATCTCTTTAAAAAATATTGTATTGTATCGTATCGAAATTTTTGGCTCAATACACAGGCCTAAACACAATCAGAAGTGACATGTACAATGACGTCAGCCCTCCCTGTAAAAGAGAGAGGCTGAAAAAAGATAACCCTTAAATTTACGATATTTCTTTACAAAAAATTGATTCAAGAATTACAGTAGCTCTTAATTTTGTTTTTAAAAAACTGTTTAAGTCCTTTTTATTTTCATTTTGTAGGAACATTTATGCGTCTTCAACAGCAAGGAAAGTTAACAAGCGAACAGTTAGAGGAAGCAAGTGGTGATGTTGATGATGAGTTTTTGAGTGATTTCGATGATTTACAGACAGATGAAATAGAATCTGATGATGAGGACTGTCAAGAGAACATTTGTGATGAAAGCGATGAGACTAACAAAGACAAAAAATGTTGTAACTCAAAATGAATTACATATGTAATAATTAATTCTAAAACATGCATAAAATTTAACTTGTTTTTTATTTGTGATTTTAAAGATACATTGTTAAAGTACCAAATGTACTATTCACTTTCACAGAAATTTTCTGCATGTAAATAAAGACAGGATTTATCGCAGATTATAATAATCTCTGATCACAAGTTTAAAAAAACACTTTTTATATCAATACGGAGATTCACAAAAAGGCAAATAATGGAGTAGAAAATCATTTTGACCTTGTTTAGTGTATGTTAAATTCATGTTTCATTTTGTTTTCACTTTTAAATTAGCACAAAGCTTATCATAAGTATATAGAACCATCAAACTGAAAAAAAAGAAAACGTGCAATCTGATTTTTTAGTTTGTTCAATCAATGCCCAGAGAGACAAAGTATGGGACCCCACTGGGGAAAGCAAAGTGCAGTTTAGTAGAATTAAATAGATAAGGGGGAATCCATATCTTAATAGAAGTGATAAAAGCAACTGTCGATATCTGCAAAATATAGACTTATTCCCTTTCAAATTTGCTACAAATTAACTCAAATTACATAAAGATTTTGTTTTCGATAATTTTTTCCTAATTAAGACAAAAACCTCATAATTTTGAAGAAAGCATATTTAAGGAATGAATTTGATAGCGTCCCATTTATACTGTATAACATGGGTTGGGGCAGTTGACGCTTTATTTAAATTATATGGTTTATCAAAAGAAAAAAACCTAAACAATTCCAACCAATGTTATGCCAGTATAACTTGGGTAGTTATTATATTCATTCCTTATAATTTAATTTTTCATCATTCAGTGTAGACAGTAGGACGATTTTTCCTTCAGAAATGAATTCAATCGGAGCATATTTTCAAAGTTTGTCAAACGGAGTATCCGTAGTACGTTTTAGACGTAACTCATTGTGATGTTGGCAACTTATGTTATACTATAAAAACATTTGTTTTATCCAATCAAATGGTGTGTTACAATGAAAATTAAGTTATTGATTTATCTTGTCTGAAAAAACATGGCCGTGCAGTCTTTATATATACCTCAGCATTTGAGAACAAGGGGCAAAAAATTCTTGAAGGGACGTTAAACAAAGTATAAACAACAATAAAATTTTTGCGATTTTGTCTAAGTCTCTGTGGCTTTCTATTCGTGTTGTAAATGTTACAATGTAGACCTGTAATGATATGCTTGGAGACTATAGATTTGATATCTTACATGTACATGTATTTGTGTAAGTTATTGCTTTACATATATTTTTTAATGGAAAATACGTGTATTTTTTCAATGTTCAAATCTGATGCAAAACAGTAACAAACACTCAAAGAGTGCTTGCAAACTACAATAATTTATTGCTTTTGAAATGAAATGTACATAAAAAGTTACACTGTATATGCGTACATGTAAAATAAAACACAATGGGCGTCAATGGGAAAATGTGAGACAAAAATCATTCTCTTGGAAAAATAATTTTTTGACATTTAATATCTTCAATACTATCGAAAAATAATTTGAATTTTGTTATTTAACATAATTGCTGCTAAATATTCAACTAATTATAATTATTGAAAATCTCAGAATAATTAGAAAATTAAATAAAAAGGTCTATAAGTTAAATTATTTTTCCTGCCTGGTGTGTGCTAATGAATGATGTAAATACAGTCATGTATATCTAAATATATGTATGATAGATACACAAGACACAAGGATGTTAATTTTGTTCAAATTCTAAATGTGAAGAAAACCCAGTCACAGTCTGTTTGCCACTACATGTAAATGCATTTGATAATGCACATTACCTTTTAAAAATCCCACCTTTCATTACAAAGTTTTAACAAAGCATGACAAAAATTTTACACGTTAATTGAGGAAAAACGGAGTTTGACAATGAGGAATCTTGGTAACTTCTTGGTTGTTTTTGGTTCTGTTGGTACGTTACTTACAAAATGTATATATATTGTAATTAAACTAATTATTGTAATAGAATGCAATGAAGTTATACTGTAAAAGATATCAATGTCTCTAATAATTATAAGGCGTTTTACTATTCACATTAATTTTAAGCATTAAACATTTCATTAAATAAAAAACGGAGATTTGATCATAAATACAAATACAATCAAGTAAAAAAATATTCTGATCGTTTTTACATTTTAAAAATCGAGGAATTATGACGATTAAAGGAACTTGATTACAAGATAACAAGCAAGAATAGAAACACGATTTTAAGTATAGATATCGTCTTCATTCATCAAAATTAAGATGGCTAATACCTATATAAACAATATTTTTTCATGTTTGAAAAGGAAGGTAAAATGAATTTTTTTTTATGAAACAAACTTTTTATTAAAGATATAACGTAATGTCTGTAGTTGTTAATTTTAAAATGCTTATGCGCAGATGCAATTGATGGTCACATGCACAAAAAAACCTAACTAAAAAGACCGTTTTTTCCTTTTATCAGACAGTTATTTAGATCATTCAGGGTGACAGTTGCTACATGAAACTCATTTAGACCGTCGGTCGTAAAATTCTTTACAATGGCTACATGAGTTCATAGCATCGATGGTTGAAAAAGAACCAAAAATTAAATTATTATTCACCCTTTAAGGCATCGCCGAAATATGGCTGAAATATTGCGGACTCGGCGTTAAACAATAATAATCAATCCCTTTAAGGTAGTGTGGTATGAGACCAAAGCCATAAGAATTAGCACTTTTCTTAAAAGGAATATAAACTGTTGGCATGATTGTAATAAGCATTGAGTTTTCTACCCAAAATTGCGAATTGTTTCATGAACCTAGGGCAAGGGATTTTGGATTCAGGGTGGATCTCCAATAGTGATCATATTATAGTGAATCTTCTCATCCCCGCAATATACCTGGTATTCTGCAGATAGACTAAGTATAATATGGAGATAACTCTAACAGTATTCAAGCTGAAACGTCCAAAGAAATAATTACAAATAGGGAACAGAGCAAACACAAACATCTAAAAACATTAGAGGTGGGATCAGGTACCATGGCGGAGAAATCATCCCTGCTGACCAGTCACACCCACCTTGTGCTCCTTGTTATGAAGTGCATGTACATCTTTATGATTAGCAAGGGTTCTTCCTTAAAAATCGCGAAACTCACAACCCTGAAATTGGGGTTCTGGTGTAAATTTGGAGCTCTATTGATAAAAGAATGGAAAGGCATTATTAAAAATTCCTTACAAATATTTCTGTGTATTTAGAAAAATATAAAAAGATGCTGTGAAAATCTCTTCTGTTCCTTGATGTTAATATAAACAAAACTTTAAATGTCTATGATGATGGTGATAAAATATATACCTGTGAGAATCACTTGGGTAGGTATCTTATTTCAATTTTTCAGGTATTTTCACAGTAGAAGCACAGAGCTATTATGATTACAATTCGTCCTATACTTCTTACACGACATATGACAATACGTAAGTATAAAAATGAGTAAATAATATTCTCGAACTCGCTAAAATAAGTTATGAAATATGGAGAAAAAACAGTACATTGTAATTAATCAAGCTTAAAAGATACTAGTAGTTTGAACAATTCGGAATCAGAACAAATACATCAGAGGTGGGATCAGGTGCCATGGAGGAGTAAGCATCCCTTGTCGATCTAGCTGCAGAACTGTAGCGTTATGGCTCGTATTAGTCTTTATTGACCATTACGCTACCATAATGCAAAAAAATGCAATTTACGGCGCAAGATTTTTTTGCGCATTTTTGGGGAGAAATTCTTCACTTCAGCTTAATTTGGTCAACCAACTATTTTTCGCTCCCGTATTCTAGACAAATTCTAAAAAAAACCTGCAATTTTTTTTATCCATCTCCCAGTCTTTTATAGTCGTCTCTGCAAGTGATAAACTGGCTTGAAGACAAATGACTGTTGATTACTGAAAATTCACCTCAAGCGAGTTTATCGCCTGTAGAGACGACTATAAAGGGTTGTGAGGTGGATAAAATATACAGATTGGTAAAAAAAAAATGTGTCTAGAATTAGGGAGTGAACGGTAGATGATTGACCAATGCTAAAAAAATGGAGAAATTCTCGCCAAAAATGCACAAAAAATCTTGCGCCGTAAATTGCACATTTTTTGTTTTGCATTACGGGATCTGTAGCGTTATGGTCAAAGACTAAAACATTGTATATTGAATCAAAACGCTACAGTTCTGCAGCTAATTAGTGTCGACCGGTTATAGCCACTGTGTGGTCCTTCTCACCATCGGACAACGGTAATATTCGTAAACAATTTAGTGTATAAAAATTGCCTAACAAATATGAATATAAAACGCCCGTAATTCATTTACAGTATTCGTAAACAATTTAGTGTATAAAAATTGCCTAACAATTATGAATCTAAAACGCCCGTTAGCATTCGACCAATGAAAGATTATACTGAGAATTTGCTGACAAAGTCATTGTATCGACCATAGAACTTGCATACTATGCATGCATTTCTAATATTACTACAAAAACATTGTTCATCATTTATGTATCTCTAAAACGATCAATTTTCATGACGATGCTTTTCTTTTCTGACACAATACAGACTGGTTTACGTAGGAGCCATCATTGGAGTTGTTGTTTGCATTGCCATTGTGATTATTGTTGTTGTATGCGTATGTTGTCGACGACATCATGGGGCAGCTGGAACTGTTATCCACTCAAATCCTTCAAATGTCGTTTTTAGCACCTGTAAGCTCTCTCTCTCTCTCTCTCTCTCTCTCTCTCTCTCTCTCAGAATATTTTCTATTATAAATACTTTAGAATTCCATTTTAATTCCACAGCACAACATGGGCAACATGCAATACATTATCAACGGCCCGCATTCTATCAATCTCAGCAGAGTACTTGTAAGTATCATATAATACATACAGAGATAAAGATTCTTAAGTATCAAGAATCTTTATCTCTCATACACAAACTTCATCTGAAAAATGGAAATAATTACACTTTACTTTTATCTTTAGCTCAATTACAACTTCTTTCCCCTGGATTTCACACCCACCAGCCATTTCAACAGAGTACAGGTACATGTAACTCAGGACACTTTGTTTTATCTTTGTACTTGTTCAGTTGTTTAACTGATTTAAAAATCATGTTAATTTTGTATACTTTTTTGAACAGGAAATCTTCGTCCATTGCAAATGTTAAACAGGGTCACTTCGTCTGCTCAATCGTTACCAGACATGAGCACATTACAGGACTTTGGATCCTTTCTTCAAGATTCATTCACAGGGGCGGATAGCTTGATGTCTTGTTCTGAAGCTATACTTTAACGAGACAATTTCTAAAAATATCTCTGCCTATTCGGCAGCAAGACAGTTATTGTTATTAATTTCTTTTCAAAAAAGAAATAAAGTTATTGAATTACATGAATTATATGTTATTTAGATGACATAGAGCATTGTTTAAAACTACACACCTCAAAAAATTCCTGCTTTAATTTTCGTTATTTTTGTATATGTAGTACATAACTATATCTACTGCATGTATGCATATTTTGGACAAAATCGTGAGTGGTTTTTGGACAAAAAGTTACCCCCCTTTAATTGTTTATAAGGAGTGAAAATTTTTTATCATGAACTACTTAAACCTTGATTTTCAAAAAAACCAGGTATATATGTCAAATTTTATTGCCTTATTCAACACACTAAAACATACATCTTTTTGATATACATATATCAAAACAATTTTTAAAGACCTTAAACTGAAAAACTATGAATTTTCTAAGCCTTGAAAATCTATCCAAAATTTTTTGTGAAAAAACCTGTCACAATTTTAATAAAAAACTTTCTTTAGGTAGCTGGTAGTAAAAATAATCTTCATAATTTTTTGTATAATTTTTGTACGACCAGTTTTGATTTAATAGCGGAAAATTACACCCCCCCCCCCTTTCTCAATAAAACACGTTCCCGCGCGTCTTTCAGACGGGGGTCGATCACTTTGTTATATGAATCTACAAATACACATCAAAAAAATTAAATTGGAATATTGCTTTTGCTTTAAAAATATATTACCTTACAAATTTAAAAGTTCTCATATGTAAAATTTGTAGATTTTTAGGCAATTTTTGAATACCCCTATCACCCCCACCCCCTTCTTTTTTTCAATTAATAATTTGGATTAATCGTTTACAGTGCAAATATAGGTATTTCCAAGGGAGGTATGCATTATTTTTTAAATTCATGAATGCAGAATAAATATTGACTACTCTTTTTATATGTATCGGAAAAAATTACTAAAAATTTTAGTGTTTAGTCCATATACGTTTGCGTTATGCATTCCATATCACATGAAACCTGGATACGAATTCAAGTTTTGCTGAACTTGAATATGTTGATTTTTAATTTTATTAAAAAATGGTGTATGTTCAACTCTCCTGTGATATAAATGGAATAATTGTAGTTTCTTTCATGTCATTATTTCAAACGAGACAGTATGTGGCCGTGGGGATACATCGACATTTGCATTAGATGTACATACACCCCTCATGATATTGTATGCATTTCTTTCAATGTCGTCGCTTCTAAAGTTAAAATGAAAATACCGTATTCGTCCACATTAACATCAAAATATCAATAATTAAACTCTTCATCTATTTCAATTTATATCAAATATATATTTTTTAAAATCTTATAGGCTACGTTTTGTTTTGATTCGAGGAAATGCGAACCGACATTGTTGACAGAAAGTCAAAGTTACGATTTGCTGCAATAGGATATTCATAAATGCAGATAATTTCAGTACAAGTGAACAATTCTTTTCAATTCTATACTTACATTGTGTATATGAGGTCTATAGTATTCAATTCTCGGATTTATCAGGTCTTGCTGTAAATGTATCTGATTCTCTGGAAAACCGTGAATAAATGGAGGAAAATAAATATTTCCTACATTTTCAGAGTTGTTCCTCTTTGATCAGTAAAGGTCTGAGAACAACATCGATTTTACATTGTAAAAAGATTTTTGTTTATTTATTGTTGTTTTATTTAATTAAAGAAGAAAAACAATATTTATATCGTGTATGCACAAATTGTAATGAAGACCATTAATCGGAATTTTCAGAATAAAAAAAAATGCTGCGCTTTGATCAAAAATACAATTTATTGTATATGAAATGAAATGAAATAAACATTAAGGGATGGTATTTTATGTCTTGCTTTTTACGGAGTTTAATCGGGTTAATTAAAAAATACTTATGGATTGAGTATGGTATACAATCACAGCCAAGCCCCATATCTCAATTTTATTTCATGGTTGATATACATCGGGATCGTTTTACAGTCGTTTTGACGCTTTATTTAAAATTGGAATTTTTAAATCGCAAGAGTTTCTCCCCCAGTGTGTTGTACGTCTTTAAAACTAAATCACTGCTAGGCGATGCATACGAGGGGTGATCAAAAAGTTCGCAAACTATCTCTATATCTACAAAACCACAATTCAGATTAGAATGAAATTTTCACACATAGCCATACACAAGGTCTATAAATAGCGAATTAATTTCTTTATATGACGTCACAATAAAATTTTTTTTAGGTCATTGTGAATTTTATAAAAATGCAAACACTGTACAATTTTTTTTCTTAGAAATCCCTCTACAGTATCATATAATAATTTGTACACAGTTTATTGAGATAAATGAGTTCCTATAAATTCAATTAATGATTGGATTAATCGTTTTAGTGAAGGAAGGCTGATGGTTAAAAATGATACTTGTCATCTTGCCCAGTGAAAGCAAGTTTGAAAAGATATGTATTTTTAAATAAGCAATTTGCTATCAAAGACCTCCAATTAGCACTTTGAAAAATAGTTGAATATTTGAACAATGATATAAGTATTAAATACTTAAGATATCGTTTACTTTAGATTTTAAACATATTAGATATGATAAAAAGGATGCACCCATTCTCTATCCACCTTGAATAAAGGTCTCTCCTGAGACAGAAGATTTGTGTTTTAATGGTCGCCATGCTTATTTTTGGAAATGATGTTATTATCCACCCGTTCTGTTGCCGAGATATGACCATTTCTGACAAATTAACTGTTCTTGTCATAAAAATTAACTCACATGGAAAGAAATATAAAACTCGGAAAAATCTTTTAATTTTTGTGACAGAACGCTACGGAGGGGGTCACGTGACCGCCAATATCACGTGATTCGCGCATGCACAGAACGGTGGTTGATGTGCATTAAAATCGGGGAGGATTAATTCAAAATATAATCAACATTAAAACCAAATATTGTTTCTTGTATGGAAGTTATTCAATTAGTTTGCGAACTTTTTGATCACCCCTCGTATATACATGTTTATCACTTTGTCACAGGAAATTAATATTCCTAGAATACAAGAGGCCCATGGGCCTTATAGGTCACCTGAGCATCATGCAACAACTTTACAACAATTGACTTTGGTTCATGTTTTAAACTAGACATCATGGTATTCACAATTTTGAAAGAGGCACCATTGCTTATCATAATTATACACTTAGCATGTTTAGTTTGGTTACTTAATACCCATAGACAGAGTAGGGGAACAAAAAAAATGCATTTCGACTAATCAGTAATATTCAGTAATAATCAGTATAGTGCCACTACCACATATGAACCCCTGACCCTTGGTCCACATATTTCACAATTTTGGAAAAGGTACCCTTGCTTATCAAAAATATTTGATTAATACAAAGGAGAAGATTTCAATCAATTAATTCATTTTCAGTATATAAGGAGAGCCCCCCCCCCCCCCTCTATGGTACCCCTGACCCAGGGGCGTTGAGAAATTCACAATTCAGGAAGAATGGCCCTCATCATAGCTATATAGGTAGTTCATCTGCTTAATACACAGGAGCAGAGAAGAAGATTTTCAAACAATTTCTGCATTTTCTCTATATAACGAATAGAGCCCCACCCTAACAACAGAACCCCTGACCCTGGGGCCTTAAAATTCACAATGGCATTCTTCCTCATCATGACTAAGTACTTATTTAGTTTATTTAATACCCAGGAACAGACAAGAAGATTTTTAAGAGTTAATGTATTTTCACTATATAATCAATAGAGCCCCACCCTAACACCAGAACCCCTGACCCTGGGGCCAAAAAATTCACATTTTTGGAAGAAGCATTCATGCTCATCATAACTATATACTTAGTTAATTTGTTGAATACCCAGCAGCAGAGAAGAAGATTTTCAAACAAATTCTGCATTTTTTCTATATAATCAATCAGAGCCCCACCCTAACACTAGAGCCCCTGACCCTGGGGTCATAAAATTCACAATTTTGCAAAAGGCATTCTTTATTATCATAACTATGTCCTTAGTTAGTTTATTTAATACCCAGGAGCAGAGAAGAAGATTTTTAAAGAAATAATGCATTTTCACTATATAATCAATAGAGCCCCGCCCTAGCACTAGAACCCCTGACCCTGGGGCCATAAAATTCACAATTTTGCAAAAGGCATTCTTCATTATCATAACTATGTCCCTAGTTAGTTTATTTAATACGCAGGAGCAGAGAAGAAGATTTTTAAAGAAATAATGCATTTTCACTATATAATCAATAGAGCCCCGCCCTAGCATTAGAACCCCTGACCCTGGGGCCATGAATTTCACAATTTTGGTAGAGGACTCAATGGTCATTACATTCATGCTAACAGTTTGACAGCTCGATGTCTAGGAGTAAAGAAGAAGCTTTTTAAAGATTGCACTAATTTTAGTGGTTTTGGCCCCACCCCTCAGGCCCTGAGGGGGGCAGGGACCATTAAATTCACAATTTTTGTTCCCCTTCACCAAAAGATGCTTTTTTTTTAAATTTGGTGGAAATTGGTTGAGTGGTTTCAGAGAAGAAGCTGAAAATGTTCAAATGTTAACACACGATGAACAACGAACGACGCACGACGACAGATAAAAAAAAAACGGATAGCAATAATTCACCTGAGTTTACTCAGGTGACCTAATAAAAACTAATTGACAAATGAATGAGACAAATATGTATTCCTAGTCCAACTTTAAACAAAAAATGTTTATTTGTCCTCGTCCAACTCAGGATGAAAAAGGGATTGGTAGGAAAGTAACCAATTTTTCCCCTGAAAATTTCGACATCCATGCTGAATTTTCTGTTTTCTAGAGTGCATATAAGAAAGATGGCTTCCATGCAAGTTAAAAAATAATATAACGTTGTTATTTATACTTTCTTGCCATTTTCTTAATATAGTGGGATGTAATGATAACCTCATAATAAATAAATAGATTTAATCCCAAAAACACTATTCAATTACGTTTCAACTTCATGTATGAATTTCAATTACAATTTCATTTGTATGAACAACGACAGTTAATATTTGTAGCAAGGATGTATTAAATTTGCAAACTATACCATTATTTTCAGAATGTACTATAGTCTTGGAAAATACAG